AAGTAAAGCCAAAGCAAGGAGGAGCAAGGGAATAAGAAGAAAAAGTCAGGGCCAGGGATTTAGCTCAGTGGTTTCGCCGCCTGCTGCGCAAGCTCAAGGACCTGAGTTTGATCCCCAGTACCAAAAAAAAAAAAAAAAAGAAAAGAAAAAGAAAAAGAAGTCAGTGATGTTCATTAAAAAAAATTAACAAAAAATTTTTGACAAAACAGCTAGTTATGGGAAAATTAATAAAAATGACAATCCACTAGCAAAATTGACAATAGAAAAAAATACACAAATTACTAATATCAAGAATAACACGTCATACCACCAGAGACCTTGCAAATGTAAAAGGAAAGGCAACTTTATGAACTCTACACATGTAAACTGACAATTTAGACAAAATGGACCAAATCTTTGAAAGACATAAACACCACCACTAACCCAACATGGAAAAGGACTATTTGAATAACTCTAAGGAAATTGAATTCATAACTTAGTGCCCCCACCCCCTAAAAAAGGCAACCTCCAGGTCTGAAGATTTCACTGGAGAATTCTACCGAATGTATAAAGAAAAATTAACACTAATTCTACATAATTTCTTCAATAAAATGGAAGAGGAACTGTTCACAATTCATTTTATGAAGCTACTATTACCCCAAAGGGAAAAAGAAGAAAAAAAACAGTACCAAAAATACAGAGCAGTATCCTTTATAAATATAGACAAAATATCCTTTAACAAGTATTAATTGCAAATAGATTAAAGCAATGGATAAAAAGCATCACACACTGCATGCAAATGGGATTTATTCCAGGGATACAAGGCTGGTTCAATATTCAAAAACAAATCAATTAAACACCACAATAATACTCTAAAAAAGAAAATTATGAGGTCACACCATTAATGCAGAGTTATCCAATAACGCTCAATAGCATTTCACAATTTAAAAAGCACACACAGGCTCAGTACAGTGGCGCATACCTTAAGTTCCAGTTACTTGGGTGGCTGAGGGAGGAGTATCCCAAGTTTGAGGCCAGCCTGGGCAATTTAGCACAGAAACCCTGTCTCAAAATTTAAAACGAAATAAAATGTAGCTCAGTTGTAGAGCATTTACCTAGCTTGGTCTAGGCCCTGGGTTAAGTCCCCAGTACCTGAGAAAGGAATCTCACTCCTTCCCCAGAGACCTGCCAGGGGATTTAAGCCTCTTTGAAACCCAGCTACTCTAATAACTACACCCTGGGCCTTCTTCTCAGCTGTTTGGGTTCTCTAGATGCAGGAGATCAAAGTGTCTTTATAAGTTGTTCCAAAGGACCCCAGCGTGCTCACTCTTAGTTTTCAGTCGGTGGTCAATCACCCTCCACCTTTGGTAGTCTTTTCCCAATTCCTTGATTGCCTCCAGCAACTGCTGCCCAACTCCAGCGTCCTTAGAAAAGCCGGGGTATTTATCCAAGCTGAGCGCAGTCGTGGGCACCCCGCCCCGCCCCAGTGAAGGCTGTGACCATGCGCCTCTCCCCGCCGGCCGGCCCGCAGGCGATTCCCTTGAAAAACCCCAGTTTAGAATCCGCTTCTTCAGTGCTCTTGCCGCAGACCGCTACCAGCGTGGGCTCCTCGGGAGATGAGGAAAAGGAGCTGAGGGTGGGGCTGCCAGAACAGCTGTGGCCGAGCAGCGCTGTCCCCGACAGCAGGGAAGCAGGCTGTTCCCACACTCAGCGTGGACCGGCGGTCCCGCGAGGGGCCGTCACCTTGCTGATTTTCCGCCGAGGGAGGGCAGTTTCTGAGGGCCCCGCTGGAAACCGCGGGCCACCAAAATTCTCTGCAGCACTGAGGACGGGCACAGGGGGCGCTGCAGTCCTCGGGAGGGGGCCTGGGTGACACCGCAGCGTCCCCTGAGGACAGGACGGGGGGGGGGCACTGTTCCCCCCTTCTCCCCTAGGACACTCTTGGCAGCTCCTTCCCTAGTCAGTCTGCTGTGTGGCGCCGCCCACAGGGGCTCTTGCAGTGGCGGGCTCCAAAGCCGGGCACTGTGCTTGCTTTTTCCTCCCTCTCCTTCAGTACCGGTAATCGAACCCAGGCCTTCTCACTTAGCTCCATCCCCAGCCCCCCCTTCCCTTTTGAGGCAGGGTCTCAGTAACTAAATTGCCCACTCTGCTGGGCTTAAACTTGCCATCCTCCTGCCTCAGGCTCCCAGAGTGCCAGTGTTACAGGCGTGGGCCCTCATAGCTGGCTTGTGGTTGCCTTTTACTGTGGATTAGGTCTAACGCTGCAGCGGCCCACTGAAGGAAGACATGCAATCAAGAATGCAAGTGCGCCTTGCATCTGACCTCTGAAACTGTCCTGTAATTACCGATGCACCTGCCTTCACCCTAGGCTCCGCGTTCCCTATACCTTGTGTCCTCAGTGCCTTTTATGCCCTAATATTTGCTGAGTAAATGAGGGCAGGAGTCATCGCTATGCGTGAATAAGCGGCCTTGCGAGGTTTCTTTCTTCAGACACTTTTAAGAAAGAAACATCTAGCCGAGGATTTAGCTCAGTGGTTCTGCCGCCTCCCTTGCAGAGGCAAGTATCCGAGTTCGATCCCTGGTACCGAAAAGAAAGAAACGTCTGAGTTGCGCGCTGAAGCCGCACAGCCTAGAAACGAGGCCCTGGAGGGGGGGGGGGGATTCTTTTGGACTTTTAGAATTGAACCCAGGGCCTTCGCACTGAGCTACAACCCCGCACCCCAGCCTTTTTTTTTCTTAAAGGCATTTGAGACAATTTTAATGTTTTCTTAAGGAAATGAACTCTGTCAGTTAACACAACTCAGAGAAAGCGGGGAAAATGGAGTTCCAGGGCAAAGGGAAAGCGCATCCCTTTTTAAGTTATCGCATTCCCACACTTGCAGTCCCCACAAAGCAAGAACTTCACGACACAGGGAAGCTCAGAATGCGACGGCAAAGGTGCTGGAGCTAACTGGAAAGAAACTAGATGCACCAAACCCAGCATTAAAACCACTCTTTAAGCAGAAGTGTGCCCGTGAAAAACTGGGGCAGTAGCTAAACAGTTAGGACCCCAGCCTTTTTAAGGTGGGTGTCGCCGTGTTGCCTGGCTGGCCCCAACGCTCCCGGCACCTGGCTGCAGAAACGCCCCCTCTGCGTCCGCAGCCGAGCGCGCTCTCTCTCGAAGCCTGTTCCCTTCGCTTCCTCCCGCGGGCGTCCTCGGGGTGCGCACCGGACGCGAGGGGGCGGTAGAGGCCCGGCAGGCCCGCGCGATCCTCCCTGCACCCCGGTGACGAGGCTCCACACGGAAACGCCGCTGTTGGGCACTCGGTGGCCAAACAGGGCTCCCTGAGCCCTGATTAGCTCTGGCTTTGCTCTCTGGGCGTCAGATCCAATCTGAGCGGCAATTCCAAACAGCTCCTCACTTTTTAAACCCAAAAGTAAAATAGCTCGGAAGGATGAAAATATCAGATCATTGGATGCTCAAGTGTCTCCCACTTGAAACCATGTCTCAAAAACTACAATCAATCAATCGATCGATCGATCGATCAATCAAAGTGCCTCCCACTATAAGAGGCCACCCTGGGCCAGCCTCCCCTTCCCACGACTGCCTCCTCCACCTTCCTCTCACAGCCTTGCCCCACAGCCACCCCGGGGCAGCAGGGACCCACTCCCACATCCTTGGCTCTCAACTGCTAGCCTGCGCCCCTCACTCCGACTTCCGGCTGGTCCTCTGGAGCCCCTAATATAACCATGACCCAACTGTAAATTCAGTGGAAACCTTTTGGTCCCAATCACCTCCCATTTCCCCGCCTCTCCCTACTTCCCTCTGTGTGGGCGAATGACCCCCACCACCCCCTGCCGTCCGGGAAACCTGGAAGCCATTCTAGAGTCTACATCATCCTTTCTGACTACCCCATTCACACCACAGGCCTGCCAGGTCCTCCTCCTGAAGAAGTCTAGAACCCAGCCGGGCGTGGTGGCGCACACCTGTGATCCCAGCACTAGGGTGGCTGAGGCAGGAGGATTGCTCGAGTTCGAGGCCAGCCTGGGCTACATAGCGAGTTCAAAGCCTGCCTGAATTGTCACTGGAATCTCCTGGCTTTGGCGCCTCCTGGATGTCTACATCAACATGTTATCCCGTAGCTCCTTCTAAAAGTGGCTCGCCAATCGAACGTGACTGGGTTTCGGGTTGCTCACCTGTCCCTCTGGAGTTAGATTCCAGGTTCTTCTCCTCTCAAACAAAGACTTGAATGAAACGAGCAAAAAGCAGTGGCAGAGTTTATTTGAAAAAGAAAAAGTGAAGAGTAAGAGAGAAATGCCCTGCAGAGTCAGCTTGGGCAGAGTAAAAGAGGAAAAAGCAAGGTAAAAGAACACCCTGGAAGACAGCGCAGACCACTGTGAGGAAAGCCAGGACAGCAAGCCCTTCTGGGGTCTATGGCCTTTTATACTGTCCAAATTTCGAGAAAGCCCCCGTGGGAACTTCTCCATTCGGGTCCTGAGAGGCGGTGCTGGGATCCCAGGCCTTAGCCTGATTTGGGGTCCAAACCGGCTGGAGTTCTCGCGAGAAGTCCGAGTTCAGGGCCTTGGGACCTGTTCTGCGCGTGTCTCTGGGATCTTGTAGTTAACCAGTCGCGCCTACTTCCCCAGCCAGTTTTTCCACGCTCTAATCTCCTAGGTCAGAACTAGAGTGAAACCCTGTGTCAAAAAAATGGGCAGAAGGCCGGGGATTTAGTTTAGTGGTTCCACCGCCTGCCTCTCAAGCTAAGGACCCGAGTTCAATCCCCGGTACCAAAAAAAAAAAAAAAAAAA